TCATTACTCGAAACGATACCGGAATACATCAGTTTGAAAAAAGCTTTGGACCAAGAAATTGAACGGTGCAAAACGTGGCGTGAAGATTACATCAAGCTTCGAGCTGAATTCGATGAATATCGCGAACGTTCATTTCGTAAGCGTCTTTGTCTCTTTTCCATCTATTATTCGTATATTGTATAGCACGTCCAACTGTTGATGGTTTGAATTTTCTGCTTGAACTGGTAGAAAACTTAACAAATACAACTAGCCCACGTCGCAAACGATCTACTTCTGAACTTGCGAAATCGATTGGTTTACCTGAAGATGAGCTGATCGAGTGTCGGCATATTAAACCTCAACGAGCTGCGCTTGCAGTATTTAACAAATTGTATGCTACACATCGTGAACGTGCCAAACTAATCAGTATCAAGAAGTTTGCTCGAGGAAATACTCAATTACTCAACGACATTTTGCGTAAGTTAAACTTTTACTTACCTTGAACGGCTTTGAATACGACGAGTTCATAGAGAATTGAAACTAGGAAAGAGGAACGGGTGCAACTGATCAGTAGGAAGAATAAGGTCGAAATGATCGCTCATTGAGGAAGAGAGAAACAATTAATTTACAGAGAGAAGAAAGTCTTCTTTCTTTCCTCTCTTTGTTCTGTCGGACTAGCCGGCAGAACGGAAAGAAAAATAGGTCCACTCCAGTCTGCGTTTCATCCAATCAGATGCCAGAACGAAAAGAAAATTGCCTATCAGAATGAACGTATGTTGGTGAATATATTCGATTCAAAAAGGATTTGAAAGATAAGAGTCTGCGAATAAGATACATATTGTTGTCAGGTCGAGTATTTACCGTCGAAGAAAAATAGAGTTTACATATTGTCGAGATGCAGTCAGATGTGTTAGAGTGTTGCTAATGTGAACCATTTTTATTCCGTTTTGTAGAATTCGCTCGTCAATGTAATCCATCTGTTATATTTACAACCGAAAAAATACGCGAAGCTCTCGGCGGTTCTATTAGACAATCCAAACATCATGTGAACAAGTTCATGAGTGTAGACTTGAACTTAGTTGGTGTTAATGAGCAGGAAATGACCGATCGCAATGGTGTCGAATTAGGATCAAGCAGCAACATGTCTGTGGTGGATGCACACTCAGAAAATCTTACCGATAAGTATTTAAATCAAAACTCAATTGCAGAATTTGATCAAATGGATGAACAATAAAATTGTGAAGTGTGTAGTTTTTCTGTCAATATTACTTGTGCATTTGTTTACATGTAAGTTTTCGTCAAGAGTGAATAAGTCCATTGAGCGTCTTTTGTCAGTTTGTTTGTAAAGCTTTTGCTCTTATTTAACTTTGTATATTTTTATTGTAATCAATGAGTTGCCTTTTGATAATTGTCATATTTTTCTAGGATATATCTATGTATATTCATACACTGACACTTATAGTTTCTCTTTCAACTCAAGAACTTCGATGAATCTTGTTAGTTGTTTGTTCGAGAGATATGAAAGAGAAACGGTTTTGATCGAACAACTATTTGATTTTTAATTATGTGTAATTAAGATATTCCAATGAATGAATAAAAGAAAAGCTTTCTTTTCTAACATCTAAGTATGCTATTCTACAGATAAAACTGCTGAGCAAATCAACTGAACTAGAAGTATGAAAGTCAACACAAATAAATTCACATTGAAAAGTTTCTCTCGTCGTTCCCAACGAAAAATATGCTTAGAGAAAAAACTGCAAAGATTAATCGTGGGGAAGGATATCAGGTAAACGATACATAATGATTTCATTCCGGAAAATAGAGGATGATTATCTAGATCTCTGGTAAACTCACACACATCACAAAACTCCCATGAACTGTCTCAACGCTCGTTAAACACAAATGATCGTGTACAAGATATTTTAGGGTATCGAGACAGTATTCAAAGTTTATTCTCTGGATTTGATTCACGCGTTGGTAAGAAAATTCTGTCACTCAAATGCATATTTATGTGATATTTCTATAGTGTCATTGAATGCCACTAATGAAAACATCAACTATGCGCAACAAAACACTGGACCGCTCGATTCAAAACATTCGAATGGCGATGATGATGATATAGACACAGATTGGCTTTCGGTCTCTTCTGAGGAAGAAGACCAGAATGATGACGTTCTTGATGGCAGCAATGACAAAAAATCTGATGGAAACATTCCCGGAGGAAGAAAATATCAAGGTTCAACTTCATCATCATCAAGAGCATCACTGAACTCAGATACCAATCCAGGAGAAGGACAAGATGAAAAATTGGGATCAGATAATGGCCGTACTCATAGTAGTTTAGAAATAGCTATACTTCTCGCATTATTCCGACATCGTTATTCCTTATCCAAAGCTTGCACTACGGATATTTGCCATTTGTTACGTTTGCTTGGAGTACAAAATGTTTCTGCAGATTATCGATCAATATACAAATTAATTAATCCGCTTGGGAATTCAATGTTTCTGCCAAAATTAACTATTGTTTGTCCAACCTGTTGTCGAATTAGTACGAATTCAGCAAAATGTCCACATGTTGATTGTATTAGCCATGCTTGTTACACAAGAGCACCAACTGTAAATTATACATTTAATCTCTCAAAACAAATCAAATCTATTTTGGAACGTGTACCATTGATGTATACTAAGTCATATGGATGTGCATTGGCTGACGTTGTTGATGGATTGGCGCATTCAAGAATTCGAAACTCTGAAAAGGGTCCATTTGTAACGATCACACTGAATTCGGACGGAGTTTTGGTCAAACACATTTCACGATCATTGTGGATTACTACAATGATAATCAATGAGCTTCCGCGATCTCTTCGATTCCAGCTACCAAATATGATTATTGGGATGATTTCTTATGGCTCACAAAAGCCTAAGCGAGCAGAGTTCCGTCCGTTGTTAAACAACTTAGTGGATGAATTGGTTAAATTAGAACATGGAATTGATGTGCATTTACCATCAGCAGATAATCTTGATTCATCTCCACACTGTTTTACCACTCGTGTTGCCGTATATTTGCTTGGTGTTGTCGCAGATAAACCAGCCCAATCAATTATTCAAAATACAGTTGACAGCGGAGGCTTTTATGGATGTACCAATTGTCACATAGCTGGTAAAATGAAAACGTTTTGTAAGATTTTTGTCTAATTAATATTACTGTTTCACAATCAAGGTGAAAGTGTGGCTGCTGGAAGAGGTTTCATTCGATGTTTTCCAACAAATCACACGAATCTACCTGAACTTCGTTCAAATAAGACTTACGATGAAGCGATGAAAATTCTCAGAAAGGTATGTAAAATGAATTTGTTATTTAATTCACGGCTTCTATTTTACTTTATCAATAGAGTAGTAAACAACGTGTAGGTCGAAATTCGTTAACAGGGACGCATACTGATGAAGCGAAAGGATATGTTGGACCATGTGCACTGCGAAGACTTCGATTTTTCGATATGGGACATTCATTCCTAACGGACTCACTTCATAACTTATACGGTGGTTTATTTGTGAGTTACTTCGGTGCTTTCTCTTTTTTTTTCGACAATAGCTTCTTAATTCTATTCGTTAAATAGGCCTATTGAAAGTTATGTTCCTACGTTCTCAGAGAATTTTTGTCGCAAAATAATGTTTGATACTTTACATTAGATCAAAGCTGTTGTCTTATTTCTATAGAACACAAGTTTTTCTTTTATTTATAGCTGAGACTACTCAAAATATGGTTAGAGCCACCATCATTGAGAAGAAACACTACGAATACTATGAGTATCTTTGATCGCCGAATAAAAGTAGAAAAAGCATTTGATTCGATTCATTTTCCAACATCAACGTATCGAATACCTCGGCATTTACGTCATTTTGGTCAATTTAAAGCAAATGAATTACGACTGTGCTTGTTGATGGGTTATAAGTCTGTATTTCTTAGATTTTGTGTTAATGAAATTATTTCTTATATATGTTTAAAGCTGCTTTCGGAGTGCGTTAAGTTCCACTCAATACAAGCATTTGCAAGCGCTAGCTTTTGCTCTTCATCTGGCAGAGGCAAGAAGTATAAATGATGAAATGGTGACATCAATTGATATATTACTGAAACACTTTATTCAGCTATTTCGACGACTCTATACAGTTAGCTTTTGACGAGTAAAAGATGTCACCTTAATATGGAGATTAAGTTCTTTTAGAAACGACACATTGTATCCGTTGTGCATTCAGTTGTTCATGTTAGTGCATCTGTACGTGAATATGGTCCCCTAATGAACTATTCAACCTTCAACTTTGAATCACTTATTGGTATGTTTATATACTTCATGCGTTAGTGAAAGGGTAGCAAAAAACGCTCGCAACGTGTTCTCGTTTCTGTGTAAACAAAGAGTACAAAGAAGAAATACTTTCTTCAATCAGACAGAAACTGTTACAAAAAAATGTTTAAAAGAATATTTTTGTTTCTTTTTATCAGAAAAAAGAATATGCTGTGAAAATAATTTGCCCCCTCTGTAGATATAGCTTAAAAACGTAGTTAGTTCGATAATCTGACAAATATTTATTCTCGGCTCCACTTATGTAATAGAGACAAGTCTTACTGATAATACTGCAATATCTGTCATTATGATGTAGAAAAGTAAATGAATCTAACGTTCTTCGTAACAAATTGTAGGTACACTTGTTCGAACAATTCACGATCCAAGTCAACCATCAAACGAGATTTGTTATAATCTTGAATTGCTTCATCGTAGTTGGCTTTATCTTGACAATAAAAGTTTTTCATACTCCTTCAAACTTTTTATAAACCAGATCAATGCTTCGTCTAGACAGGCTCGTGCACATCACATTAACCGTCGTTCTCATTTTAATATTCGCTTTCATCATCGAATTCGATCTTTATTATTTGTTGAGAAATATTTACCCAAACAAGAATATGAATTATATCGTACGATATTCTACAAAGGTTTACGATATTCTTATAAAAAACTCCCGAACAGTAGTCGAGCACATGATGGATGTCTTCTGTACTGTGATTCGTTTAATGTGAAGAAACTACGTGTCGGTTTCTTTAGATGCGCAGCGAAACTATGCGATATTGAACAAAACAATGTTATTTTATTCGTTGAACAAATCAAACTAACGTCTATTGCAGATATTGTGAGCATCGATGACGTGGAATATAAGTGCATGAATGTGCTGGAAGGCTATTCTCATCAACCATGCCAATTTACTATGATCCAACCAGAACAAATTAAGGAAAAGCTTGCTTTTCGTTCTCGTGATACATCAAAACCAAACGAATATTACTTCTATCGATATCCAAATTTTTCTGAAAGCACATGATTCTATTTTTTTAGATAAGATGGCAATTTTTCTTCTATAGTAAACTTAAAACTGAAAGAACTTTATGTATTTCGTTTCCTAATAAACAGATCATTATCATGAAATACACAACAACTGTTTTTTTCTTTCCGGTGAACTTATACATTCTCAGGAACACACTATCGTGCCCATTAGAAGACAGTTGCATACTTATTAGAGCAAATATTTCAATAAGATTGTTGAACTTCATGTCTTTTATGTCTCTATATCTATTTACACCCATCCATTGCACTGTGTAAACTCTTTCAAATATTCACGTTCACTATTAAACTATTACGTAGTAACGTTCGTTATCTCTAATAATTCAAACGCAATGTATTGCTAACTTATCAGTTATACAAAATCTTAGATTGAAAAAATCTAAACAAGGCATGCTTCTTAAAACGTTTTATCGCACGAAAAAACGGGAAAAGAGCATTTTTAACCGTTATTTTTCAGATTCCTCTAGGACACACCGCTAAAACAGTTTGAAAGGGAAGCTTTCAAGGGTAAAACCGTTTATAACCGTGAAAACACTGAAAACGGCTTGATAAACTGTTTAAACGCAATTCTGACCGTTTATTGTCTGCCTGGGTATTGTGATTTGAATTTGCAGTGAGTTAAGTATTAAAAATCCCTTCTTGACCGCGATGCACTATGAAGTCGTAAAAGCTCCAAAATAAAATGGATAATTTTCTTCAAAATCTTTGCACACCATTTCGAAATCTCTTTCGATCGGTCAGAAGCTTCATCCATACACAGAGTTTCTGCTATTCTTTCTACAGAGTCTCTGAATTTTGAACTTTTATCGTCATATCTGGAAGATTGTTCAGACGATCTTTGGAGCACCTTTGACACTTCTTATGGAATCATCGGCAGGCCAGAAGAGGAGAAGGAGGAAATTGCCCCCTCCTTCTGAAAAAATTTTCTAAGGACAACAAAAATTGTTGGGATCGAGAAAAAAACGAATATCTGTGACAATAATGATTGAAAACATTTTGTACGGATCTCAAACGATCTGAATGTCCCTCACTCTGTTTTTGCCAACCCGCTGATGATATAGAGCATATTTTTCGTAGTTTATGTGCATGTGCCTTATTTTCTATCTTTCATTTATTATTCGTTCTTAAACAACAAACTCTATCACAGAATTGAAACCGATATGACCTATATGCTGCCGTGTTCAAACAAATTCGAAGCTTAACGCCAACGAAATCGCCATGTACAAGAACAGTATCGTGAAATATACTCAGAATACAACAAATAATAAGCATATATTACGCATTTAATAAATATTACGATTCAAAATCATTGAAGGATACTCTCTCCTTCCTTTATATATTCTAGTACACATTATAAAGGTATAGTGCATGTGACATACTTAATGAAACAGGTTTATGGTACTCACCTTGCGAATAATATAATTGAGAATCAGTGATGGGCATCCTTTTCGTTTTTTCTTCGTCGGCAACTCCCATCATGACGCAAGTGGGAAAAGGAAGTATACAGTTCGGACGTTATGATAATTTCCAACATACGTGCTGTCAACTAGCTTTTGATTACTATATTTATAGTGTACAATAAGATAAGTCTTTCTACTGATAAATCATTTTGTAGTTTGAAAGCTGTTCAACTTCGAGAATACAGACGAAACACGAAAGAGTCTGATTATTTTTACTCCACATCAAAATATTCTACTAACATATTAGTTTATAAATAAAGAATTATTTTAGAAAAGCAACAATGCTATTCTACTGGTGCCTTATAAATACTGTGCTCTTATTTGCAACTACTAATGGCAAGCCATGGGATGCACAATCTAGTGCGGATCCAAACTGGTGGATTGCATACAATGCTCATCGCACTCAAACTCAAGTACATGCCAAGAATACTCGTGTAGTCTTCTATGGCGACTCTTTGACTTTTGCTTGGTACACCACTGGACAAAGTATCTGGAATGCTATGTATGCTGCGCGAGGCGCCCTCAACTATGGTATTGCTGGTGATTGTACTCAGCAAGTTTTGTGGCGTTTAAGAAACGGCGAATTAGATGGTTTACAACAACAACCAAAGTTGTTTGTGCTGATGATTGGTACAAATAATCTTGCAGGCAGTAGTGTTTGTCAGGCAGCATCTGCAGATGAAACGGCTGTTGGGATCCAAACGATAGTTCAAGAAGTTCGGAGACGTTTACCACAAACAAAAATACTTCTGTTAGGTATTTTACCTCGAGCTCAAGGATTGTATGCTGACTCCATAGCGAGAGTTAACCTTGATTTAATGAATTTGGTCGATAATAACTGGATTCACTATATGAATATGATTTCACAATTTCAAATTTCGCATACACAGCAGAAATTGGAGTTATATGATCCAACGGATCCCAGTCATACTCATCTCAATTTAGCTGGATATCAAGTTTGGTATCAAACAATGGAACCATTGTTTAATCAGCTAATTAATTGAAATCTGTCGTTTTTTATATAATCCAGAGTATTCATTTTTTTTTGACATTTTAACGAATTATTCTTGAGATAAAAGTTTAGGAACACAATTACAAAATCATCAGCCATCTTGTATTGAGTTCAAGTTGAAAATTCATATTATTAACATACTCACAATAGTAACTTAAAGCATCGAATAAAAAAAATATTGACAAACACTTGAAAATAGAAATCAGACCTGATTAGATATTCGATTATCGCTTCATGGCTTTATCATAGTTTACCAAGTTACTGCTAGTCGATTTTTATTGAGGTGAATACACATTACTGCGCATCTTAAGCTCATTCCTTTCGTCAGTGCAACAGTATAATATTTTCATACACTTTAACGACTGATATTTATCTAACTTACAATCAATTCAACCAATTAATTATACGATTTCTATCACGAGGTGGGCGTTGCCATAAGTGAAGGAAAATATTCCAATTAGCATATTTTTATTTTTCTTCAAACGGATATTTCCATCCTTTAATTGCTAAGTACGTCGTAAGATACTTTGTTTTTTACCTATCTGCGTCATAATAATTTCAGAGAAGGAGAATTTGGTTTCTTCGTATCTAAAGTGTGAGAGAACATCTGTATTTGCCATTGACAGTATTTCGTAGCGTTGATTGTGATATCTCTTTGAGTCCTAACTGATCATAGTATTCTATATGTCTTGTTTTTAAATATCAGAGATACTATCATATGGTGTATACATAATCTACTTGTTCATACAGTAGTTAATCGGAGTTATACTGCTGTCGACACCTTACTCAAGCACTTCATTCTCATTCCTGATGATTAATTAGTGGATACTTGTATTCGACCATAATCAAGTTTTGTAAAGTGAAAACGATGTGCAAAACACGGATGTAATTGTTCTAGTCTGAGTTTCATAAGAAGAAATTCTTCATATTGTCCGTTGAATAGAAATTCACAATTAAATCGATTGAGATGAAGAGTAAATCGTTGAAAACTGTAGCTTAAATGCTGAAAATAAATCATTGGTTGTTCTCGAACAAATGAACTCAAATGTAAACAAGTCAAAACTGGTGTCAAACATAACATACTATCAGTTAATTGCAACGATAAATTCCCTTGTAAATACAGTTTTCTCAAATTAAAATGTTGAAAGTTGTTTAATATTGACGTATGGAGTCGAATCAGATTTCGGTATGAATTGAGCATCCGTGGAACGATCAAAGCCTCATGTATATCACATATACTTATTGTCCGTAGATTTGATGAAAATAACCACGAAAGATGAATGGGGCGTATCGCAAACATCAGGTTGTCCTAACAGTTCGTACAACTACTGTTTTCTTGGAGGTGTGAAACTAGGTATGCACCAGTACAGTCCAACTGGGCACCCGGTCGGACTGGACACCCAGTCGGACTGGGTATTAGCTTCCCATGGTAATTTCTACTGGATACTACATATCTTCTACTGAGAACAAAAATTTGTTATTGATTCATTCATAACGAATTATGACTAATTCAGATGCTACCAAATTCAAAGATCAAATCAAATTTGAATGTTTGTTTTCCAATCTATAGTATACCATATATATTAATATTCCTTCAGCAAATTATTCCAATTCATTCCAATGTCTTTATTGCATGCTTTTTGACAGATATCGAACGAGATCAATCGGCGAACGGTTAATGACAAAACAATAGAAAAGCTTTTTAAAATTGGCTGCATAATCGAGATCAGCTCTTTAATCTGATTAACTGTTGATATTCGCTTAAGAGATGATTTTTAACAATCTTCGCTGTTATTGATAAAACAATTCGTATCACATCTCTACTTATTTGTCTACCAATAGGGAAATTAGAACAAATATATAAGACTTGAACCAAATAGCATTTTAATGAAACTCACTGCAACGTGTTTTGTCGGTAAGTAGACGCTAATATATTATTTAAATTTCATTCGCACGAATTGATGCGAGTGATATAATAAGCTTCGCATAAATTTCATTTCTAAAGTATATCTATGTGATTATATATGGACAGTAATGATACGATTTACTTCACTCAGCATTTCAATTTACATGGCTTCGGTCCAGGCATGCCAAATCTCCTGATTTTGTCGATTTTCTCCTGATAAAAAATCTCCTGATTTCAGGAGCTTATTTCGATCATTTTCTACTGATCCTACTGATTTTGATTTTTTTCCGGTGAATAACCAGTGGCATATTCTGTTGACAAAAATGTTGAATTGAAGACTGTAGCCAATAACAGATTTTATTTTTCGTTTTCGTCTTTCATGACTTCTCAGTTAAAACCAGAAAAATCTATACAAACATTTATTCCAATTCAAATAGTAAATATATTTGTTGTTTTCTCAATGTCGTTTTCATGTTCAAGCGCAATTATTGAATTAGATGATGAATTGTCATCATCATCATTGGATAATGATTCTATCAAACTGTCTCGATCGACATTTCAACGAAATACTATCTTCACTTCATTATCAACGATTTCAAGTCCAATACTTGTCAAGAAATCATCATCTAATTCAAACAAACGTTATTCATCGAAATTTAAAAGGACTGGTTATCCATTCCTCTTTTTTCGTCGTTTTTACGGGAGTGTAAAGATGATTCAACAAAAGCCTTATGTATCGTTTGCAACGGGAAGTTTTCTATTCAAAACAGCGGATTAGGTGATATTCATCGTCATACTGAAACAAATAAACACAAACAAAGTACAAAAGCTTCTGAAGCTAATCGAAGTGAGACTTTTCCTTTCGAACTACCCAACTGAATTTTGTAAAACTTCTAGCAAAATCACTTGATGCAACATTTGGTATAACAACAACAGAATTTAATCGTTTGACTGCTGTTGAAGGAGCTATGTTCTTTCATTCGGTTAAACATTCTCACAGCTACGTTTCTCAAGGTTGCACAATGGATATGATCAAACATTGTTTTTCTGATTCTCACGTTGGAAAGAACATTAGTTGCAGCAGGACAAAAGTAATATTAATATCTTTTAAAACTGATTTGTAACCATAATAAATAATATTCATCTTTTAGGCTCGTGAGATAGCCTGTAACGTACTTGTCCCATCATTAACAGATGAAATTGTTCGTGAACTACGAGATGTTTCTTCTTTTTCCATTTGCTATGATGCTTCGAACAAGGGAAATGCCAAGATGCTTCCAATTGCTGTACAGTTCTTCTCGAGATTTGGCATTCGACGTGGTATACTGGATTTTATTGAACAAAGTGAGGAATCAGTCNGTTAGCAATACATTGCGTTTGAATTATTAGAGATAACGAACGTTACTACGTAATAGTTTAATAGTGAACGTGAATATTTGAAAGAGTTTACACAGTGCAATGGATGGGTGTAAATAGAACGAGCGCGGATGAGGGGTGAAGGAGGGGGGGGGGGTGAGGGAGGGGCCTTGGGTGAAACTATGGGTGGGTGGGGGTCTTGGGTGACATTATGGGTGCTTGTATGAGCGTGGGCGACCGTTCATTGGATCTTTTTGTGGTTGGTGTCTGAGCGCAGGTTGCTGGAGTCGATGATCGGCGGATCTGTTTCCTTAGTGGAGGATTTTATGTAGGTCAGGTGTTCAGTTCTTCTCGATTTGTTTATGATGGAATATGATGCTGATGGGGGTTTAGGATGGCTAGAAGTGGTGGCAGAAGACAATTGAAATGTCTAGGTGTTCGAAGTTTAAGGCAACTGCAACCGATCTTAGGAGTCATAAAAGAACGACAAATAAATAATCGTAGGTATTACCGTAGCTAAATGCACTGAAGGCGAAAAATACAGATATCAAAAGATACATTCGCTAGACTCAGACGTGTCAAATGTAATCCTAATTCTTTGAGTTAAGCCTGTTCAATATATGGGAATTTGACAAAGACAAAGAAAGAAAACTGACACGAGTAAGTGATGATTGTTGTTGGTGAAAGCATATAGTACTAGCTGATTGGCCATTTATCACTGCCTTGCATTGACGCAATGATACATCACACCACGATTTGAGGTTTATTATTTTACTCTTCCTGCGGAAACCTTTATCACTCTATTAACAAAGGGTTATGCACATTCCTTGCGTTAATTAGTATATTATTCTACGGATAAATGTTGATCTTTCTCTCCATGGGCGTGCAAGGTTGATTGTCCTGCGTGGAAAACTAGTAACTCGCTTGCTCTTTTTTGAAGGGTTTATCACAATACGGTTAAGAATTGATGTATTCCTACAATCCTACAGAGAGTTTGCCATTGCACGGATGGGGGTAGATCATACCCATGTAAAAATTCTTGCTCAAAAAGTCTACTATAAAGTACTATTCATATTTGATTGATAAGTGAAAAAAGTACTAAAAAGTGAACTTTTTAAAGCAACTATAAGTATACTTTGGGGTAAAAAGTACTTTTTATTACTATAAAAAAGTGAAAAAATTTACTAAAATAAATTTTCATTAGTAATAAAAAGTACTATAATTTTCCTTTGAATGTGTTATAAAGTACTTTAGACGTAGCATTTTTAGAGGCTATATAATGACTTTTAGTAGTTGCAAAAGCACTAAATATACTATATAACATATTCGCAGTAATTCACTAAATACTTCTATTTACTTTCAGTAGTACTAAATATTTCTTTGGCTATTAAAAGCTCTTTAGTATCGCCCTTCCGAATAACACTAGAGAAATACACATTATGGGCACGTAAGATTTCCAACAGTAATCTAATATTAAGACTATTTTATTCTTTTCCTATCCCATCTCGCATCAGCAAAAGATTTATATTTGTTGCTATTAATCGTCTCTCACTATTATCCGGTGACATTGTAACAGAAGTCACTAAATTTCATATCCATTTACTTCTATCTATCGCGAAATCTTATTAATTATTTTTCATTTAATCATTACTTACTCATTAACTTCTCATACACATTAACAATATAAATAACTTGCACTTCATCATTTTTATTTAAATTAACACAAGTAGCGTTCGCCGTACCGACTCACTTCACCCTCGACTGTGGAAGACAGATATACTGTCTGCGTGTGCTATTAATGAGGCGAATCGATCTAGCAACTTCACGTACGATGAAACGGTAACCATCTGGTGACATTCATTTTGTTAACATGTTTATTCTTTTCTTCGAGATAATCAGCTACTTTGGATGATTTGTGAGAACTTTTCGCCAATGATTGACACTTCCCAAGAGCTCGCGTTGTATACGTTGAATTTTTTAAACCATCCCGGACACAAAGTTGAAGAGAGTGGGCAAAACAGGACAACCGTGTACCCATTTGATCTTCGAAATCTTCATCATTGTNCCATCTGGTGACATTCATTTTGTTAACATGTTTATTCTTTTCTTCGAGATAATCAGCTACTTTGGATGATTTGTGAGAACTTTTCGCCAATGATTGACACTTCCCAAGAGCTCGCGTTGTATACGTTGAATTTTTTAAACCATCCCGGACACAAAGTTGAAGAGAGTGGGCAAAACAGGACAACCGTGTCCCCATTTGATCTTCGAAATCTTCATCATTGTCAGAGTCCACATTGATAGCTTGGAATGTGTTCATTTCAATATCGTCTAAAATGAAAGAAAAGAATATTATACTTGAGTTAAATGATGAGATTTCGACAATAACACAGAAATATTAAGAAGATTTGATTTTCATAAAAAAATGATCGATTTTCTAAGAGGAGTCCTCTTGGAGAACTTCTATATACTCGCTCGCGTAATTTCCTTTATGAACGTCAAATGACACTTACGATCTAAATCGTCAGATAAGTTTTGAGTGTTTTGTGTTGCAATAATTCCATCTTCGCACTCATTGGCTTCTTCGTCAGGAAATAAACCAAACTTGTAAGCTTTGATCATTGACGATGCATTATCCGTAACAATTTTATAAACTTTGTCTTTGATATTGTACTTATCAAGAACTTCTTCAGTTAATTGTCGTATATTTTCACCGGTGTGCGGTGATTTTAAACGTACAAATTCAACTAACACAGCATGTGAAACCATTTGAGTATCGATAAAATGACCTGTAATTCCCAGAAATGATCGGCAACGTCGATCCTACCAAGCATCCACGGTTAATGTCATATAACTAATATTCTTCAATTTTTCATCAATAACTTTGTGAACTGAATTCTTAAATGAAGGAATGACATCGCGTTTTATTTTCTTTGATGATATTGGTTCGTGTTTGACATTACAGTCTTTCATAAAATTACGAAAGCCTGTACTTCTAACCAAGTTAAACGGTAAGTTACAGGAAATAATTAGATTTTTTGTTATGGATGAGTCTAGTCGATTTTGTTTGTTTTCAGTAGTTGCCAAGTTGAATTCTGTTTGATCATCATTGGTAAAGTTCTCCTTTTCATTTGAGCATTCATTCCCATCATTGAAGATTTGATTATATTCATGCTGATGTGCACGTTTGAGATGTTTTAAGAAATTGCTATATATTCCACGTTGATCTTTGTAATTCTTTTTGCATAATGCACAGAACGCATTTGTTCGATCTTTGTCACAAGGCGAGAATTCGAAATGTTTTCTCCAAGACTCGGTAGTCATTTTCCGTTTAACAGAGTGTAAATCGATATAACAGTTGGTATATTCGGTAATATTGAATGATGATACACGAAGTGATGATCTAAAATGTAAATCAAGGCGAGCATCTATTTTAATTATCTGGCAAGACCAGATATTTGATGAATGTCGTTGTAGACCGAATTGGTTTTCTTTAACGATAACATCAGGTATTTATACCAGGAAAAACGATCTAGGGAGAATTGAAAAACGTTGTCTTCTTTGTTTTCACATGAATAGAACGAGGGTATATCTTATGTGTGAATAAGGATATCTAAGGACATATATCAGCTGGACAATCGAGAGATATCATATGTATAACAGCTGTTTGTGAGGACATATACATTAGCTAGACAGAAACAGAAAAAGTATCGAGAGATGCATTACAAGTGGTATACGGTGCCTCGACGATCTTTATTTTATTCCAAAGACATTTGCTAGTTCATAATCATTCTTAAGTATCATGAATAATTGTGATTATTTTCATTGATAATTAGAAAAAAACGTGCTTCAATAGCTCTCACTATGACATGTGTCATACGTGATAAATTTCAGTACACGCTGGAATGATACATACATGGTAAATAGATAACTGACAGAGATCTTCCTTTAAGTACGAATATACTTAACTACCGGTACTGAGTACAAATGTACTTTTATACTGGTACTGAGTAAAAATATACTTGAGTAATTATACTTGAGTAAAAGTCCGAAGTACAACTTTCAAAGTACAAGTATTTTTACTTTTACTTGATGTACCTGTACTCATCCAGTCTCTGCNCGCTGGAATGATACATACATGGTAAATAGATAACTGACAGAGATCTTCCTTTAAGTACGAATATACTTAACTACCGGTACTGAGTACAAATGTACTTTTATACTGGTACTGAGTAAAAATATACTTGAGTAATTATACTTGAGTAAAAGTCCGAAGTACAACTTTCAAAGTACAAGTATTTTTACTTTTACTTGATGTACCTGTACTCATCCAGTCTCTGCACCCACGTTCATACATCAACCCATGTATTCACCCAAGACCCCCACCCACGTTCATACAATCACCCATAGTTTCACCCAAGACCCCCACCCACGCTCATATATCCACCAATGTGTTCACCCAAGAACCCCACCCACGTTCATACAATCACCCATATTTTCACCCAAGACCCCACCCTCAGTCCCCCGCCTTCACCCTTCATCCGCGCTCGTTCTACGACCAGCACACTAGAAGTTTTCAATGTGTTGAATGATTTAGGGGAAAATGTTTTTTTGACCTTTGACCCTGACACAAACAAACAAACAAACAAACAAACAAACAGACAGACAGACAAACTATTTTATTTCATATGACCCTCTCTACAGTCGAGGGAATAATCGAAATCGTCGGTTCCATTCTCGTCATCGATTTAGCTGTCGTTTATAGAGTCATTCACAACATTTCCACACAAACATTTCAATCGAAGTTTTGAGTTTCAATCGGATATCGTCATTTCTGTTGTGTTTGTAACGCCGGTTATACGTTTGATAATAAAATTAATTGTCAAACATCTCAATCAAATTATCGCACAGTAAAACGGATATGATTGGAATAAATGAGCGTGAGTGACAGAGTGGACTGAGTCCTGTCTTTCTTGTACCCGAATCCACTCATGAAGTTGTATTTGTCAATCGATACATGTCAGAAACAACCATGGGTAAAATATTGGATCACGTTAGCGATTGCCGTCAGTTTTCGATCGATACCGAAAGTGAAATGACCAGCAACTAGCTAGCCATTATACAAATCCATTCAATTCCACGGGTGTTGCCATCGATGGTGATCTTGGTTGAGTTGTTGTATCTGCCGATTCGAGAATCAGGATTGTATGCAAAGATTGAACAGATGTTACGTTTGATATTTAGATCCGGTAATCACGTTTACGCATGAGGAGAGATGAGAAGGGCGATGAAACCAGTGAAGCATTTATTCGATTGGCCGATTAAATCTGAATTGATTGATTTATAACCACATTTCGCAGGATGGTATGAGTGGGCTCGGACCTTATGTAGGGTCCAGAACCTGCGGGGAAACGTTATTACAGTGGAAGGTAATGAAGTTAGTCGACCGAATGACCCAATGAAATGCACATGCCATCGGGAATCTCCTTATCATGAAAATCAATTATGGTCGTTACAAAATGCGTTGATTTACGGCTTTGATGTATTTATTGATAAAACAACTCGGATGGCACATTGGCCACGTGGATTAACATATAGTCATTCATCATTATCACATGCACAGCGTATTCGAATGACACATTATGCCAAGAATGATGTGATGGCGGTATCCTATCTGGTTAGGCCCATCATCGAGAACTGGTCACTCGCGAAAATCAAGGAAACAAACATCGAAGCAATGTTAGTCGCACTTCAACCAACATTACCACCACCGTTACGTCAACCGTCGACAAAGAGGAAGGTTAAGAACATCAATGTACAAAACTTGGCAAAAATTTTTGAAACTACCGATTCGGATATTGAAACAATACCGTCGGACGATGAAATATACTTGAATCAGTTAACCTCTCGAATTCAAGACAACACTCAACAGGAAGACCATCGCAGTACTGAGGGGTTAAGCCGAAATGGCACGGGAGTCGCTGATGAAAACGCCGAATTCAAATTAGCAACAGCAGTCACTAATGATAAGATCGATGATGATTTAGAGGAACCAACAAATGAAGACCTTGTCGACATTTCCGACGACGAATTAGTTGACACCGATTATACAACATACGCCTGTCGTGAAACACAGGGAACAGTTGACATGTTTCAACTAGTTCCTGCCTCCGCGGAACAACAGCAACCACAACAATCAAGAAAGAAACCGACACAATCGACAACACAACCAGAGGAAAAGAAGATACCGATACAGACACCCGGTACGAATACCTTTCTACTATCGTTTTAGGTCATTCATGATCAGGAAAATCCTTCGGTTGTACCAAATACCATTCGTACACACGAAGAAAGACGGCGACGATGTGGTCGTGGGCTTGAAAAACGAAAATGATCGATATCAAGCTGAACACGATTTAGCAGCAGGCATATTCAACCGTCGAAGTTTCTACCATTATGCAAGAAAATATCAATGGCGATTTTCGGCCGGTGATAAAACAAAAATTTTCTTCTTTTTTCTTTCTTTCTCCCTATTGTTTCTAATAATGTCTCTTGTTACCGTTCCTCTCGTTGAAGTTCTTTCCCATCCTTGTGACTTGCTAGTCAGATATAAAAAAAAATCTTTTTTCTTCTTTTGTTTATTTGTTGTTATTTTCTTTTTTGTTTTTTTTTTGTTCTGGGAGGGGAAGGGTGTTATGGTTATCCAATTGTGACATCTTTATCTCAACTATTTCTTTCGCATCTTCTTTGTGATGTTACATACGTATATGAAGTGGTCAAATAAAAGAAACGGCCAGTTATGCTTCGATAGTAACATCGAACGCACGCCTCTTTCTTTTCGCTCTCGGACATCGAACATAACAGGCGTCATGTACAAGATAATGGTTTAACAAGAAAATATGAAGACGACGATACTTTTCGATTAAATGTTAGAAAACTACTTGCCTTGCCCTTCGTTCCAGCGTCGGAAGTAATTGAAGCGTTCGACTTACTTGCTGATGACTTCGACGATGAAGCTGAAAATCTGGTGGAATATTTCGAAAAAACGTGGATAGGTGAAAAGAAGATTCGAGGTAAGAATGATCTATTTCTATAAACTTCATGCAAATGTTTTGTTTACGAAACCAATTGGTCTCGCAACGTTTTGTCTTGCAACCTTTTTCTTTTGCAACCTTTTGTCCATACGGCATTTTGTCCTGCGACATTCTGTCCTAGCGCCAATAGGCGTTGTGATGGCATATCTCATTCTTTAGCAAGCTTGAAATCGTGATCGTAGCTCGCCAGACACACCTTATTCAAAAGATAGTATAAGGAATTTCACCCACATTTTGACTTGTGAAGATGGAGAAAGCAACGAGAGAAACGTGATATGTTTTTGCGATACATATGTTCACACTTCCGTGATGCTCAAAGAAAATCAACAAATTTTGTGAGAATACTATATCACAGTCATATAAAGATTTGAAAATTTACTCATAAGACGTTGCACAGCGCTCTTTGCCTTTTTTTAGCACGGTAGGTCCCAGACTATGTCGAAATTTAGCTGCGAAGAATTGACAAAAGATTGATTATACAATGACTGGGAAAGAGATAGTCTATTATATAATTCTTGTCGTCCACGCTGGATCCAGCGGCCGAACTGGGGCGCGTCTACGTATTTGTACCGTGGACCTGACGCAAGACCAATGTGATTTTTTATCTCATACTGTTTTAGATGAAAAGCACATTTCCAGGGACGGTATACGGCGAAGATCCATGGATCTTGACCAGCTCCATGTGAGGGTACAGGATAGTATATCCCACCATGCAGTTCTAAATGTGTTTTATGCACAAGGTGGAAAGTAGGAACCATACAAACTCCTACATCTTTAAAAGCAGCGATGCCGAAGTTGCTGGCAACAGGGCACGATCTGAGTGCCTCAACAGCTGCACTCGTCCAACCTTTTGTTAAAAGCTGCATATCATCATTAGCTGGATAAAAATAGTCGCATTGATCTTTCTGAGCGACTTGTGCTAATGTATTCCATACCGGGGTTAAACGCTGTTCCATTGCATGAAGTCTAATCCCTCGAAAAGTCACGCGAAGACCAGATCGATTAGCCTTCAATTGCAACCTGATAAAATCTGATAGATGTTGCCAATTGCTTATGTTGTCGTACCATGAGTCGCCGTAATCATATCCAATATATAATCGATACTCGTACTGATCCTCCGCGGTTTTAACCAAAGTCGGTATGAAGGAATGTGCCAAAGGAAGATTCGATAAAAGAATACCGACCGATTGATTGTAAACTACACCGCGGCTTGTAACTGGTAACATCATACATATCGATAAACGGGAAGACATATTTGCTCCATTTCTTATATTGCCTACCGCAGAGTAATTAATGTGTATCTTTTCGAGGACTTTTGTCCCAATAAACGCGTAGATTGCTATACAGAAGAGTAAAATACTGAAACACACTAAGATTGACTTTACTGGAACCATCGCCTTCTGAGTTCTGCTTGTTTGATAATTTCAACCGACTGATTACTATTCTGAAAGAGCTCCTCTGTAGCCTTGAATATTTCGTTAACAGAGCTTTCTATAATTGATGATTTTGCCGAAGTAAGATGAGGGCAAGAACTAACGAAAGTAACGCAGTAACGAAAGTAAAGAGGGTCGATTCTTCTTCTTTCTTGTTCCCTCGACTGTAGAGAGGGTCATATGGAATAAAATAGTTTGTCTGTTTGTGCCAGGGTCAAAGGAAAAAAAAAACGTTTTTTTCTTAAAATCATTCAACACATTGAAAACTTCTAGTGTGCTGACGATAAACGAGTGCGGGTGAAGGGAGAAAGGGTCTTAGGTGAAACTATGGGTGGACGTATGAGTGTGTGAGTGAAGGTCGTTGTTTGGCTCTTTTGAGGTCGGCCTGCGGAAGTGCACTATTTGAATCGGTGATCGGCGGCTCTTTTCCCTAAGTTCAGGATTTTATGTAGGTTAGGTGTTTAGTTCTTGTCGATTTGTGTATAATGAAAGATGAAGGTTATGTTGGGTTGGGATGCCTGGGACTAGTGTAAGAAGGCAGTTGAAATTGCTAGTATGTTTCCACTTTTATGCTACTGCAACTGATCTTAGGAGTAACAAAAGAGCCACCAACAAGCGTATGTACCACCGTAGGTAAATGCACTAAAGGCGAAAAATAGAGATATCGAAAAATACATTAAGCAAAATCACATGTGTCAAATGTAATCCTAATCCATTGAGTTAAACCTATTAAATATATGGAAATTTGAAAACGACAAAGAAATAAAACTTCTGCGAGTAAGTGTTGATTATTGTTGGTGTTCGTAAGGTTGGCGACAAGCAAAAGTGGAGCAAATTTTTTTTGTTGAATTTTTTATGTGATATGATGCAGTTTGATGCGCTGAATCCGAATATGTATAATTTAGTGACATATGAAGTCGTCTT